TGTGTTAGCCTTTGTGGTAGAAGAAGAAAATATTTAAGTACCAAACAGTGATTCATTAAAAAAAGTATGGTTGCATTTGAAAAATGGCCCTGCTTTAGTCATAAAAAGCACAAAGCAAAGTACAGGAGTAGTCACTAAACATTAGGAACACAAGATTTGAAAAATAAATGTTAGCTAGACACTCAAGTTTCTACTCATGACCCCAACAGATTTTACTTAGGGAATAGATGGTATAAAGACTATTTATTTATGGTCAGAGTCCTCAAAGGAGCCTCAAGAATTTAGTCAAGTTATTGGATTTACTTGGATTTGGGGTTAAGCAGTGCATGAAATAAAATTATTTTTGCTCACATTGATTTATAAGATGGATATAAGCTCATTTCAATAAGTAATTAGTAAAAATATTTCTATTTATCCCTTTCACCCACCCATATTGAGAAATATCTTTAATACTTCTTTGTTAACTCTGAACTCCTATTATCATGACAAGATAATTATTGAAAATTAACTTAAAACTATTAGTTAAAAGGCAAAAGCTGATTCAAACCACTGAGCCTTCTTAGTTAATTTTTTTTAACCTTGAGATAGAAATGTTCAGGATCAAGTAAACTAAACCACAAATAATGCACAGTTTTTCCATTAACTGAACCTAATCAAGCCCAAATCTCTGCAATCAAAAAATTTAATTCAATATTTCACTTTTCAGTAAAAAAGATAATAAAAGCAAAACATATTCATGTTGAAGCTTAAAAACATTTAGAAACACATTCAACTTGAACTATCCTGTTGACTGTCCCATACCTATATGAAATAATCAATAATTGCTTATTCCATCATGCTCATTACAAGGTGCCTTCAAATATCTACACTTTGTGTCTTGCCAATAACTTTTTGAGATAGTTATGTCAGTTCTCATCAACATTTTGCAGATAAAGGAATGGAGCTTTAGAGGATTTTATAATGTTGCCAAGTTGTAAGTAGCACACTTCCTACTGACTACAAGTCTTGTGTCATTTCCATGTTTATCATACTGTACTTACTAAGACAAGGCGCACACACATGCACACTTGAATTAAGAACTTTTGGATTATTTCTGAGTTGGATTTCAGGAAATCAGCAAACTCTTTCATGGAAAACTGTACTTTATGGTAAAATGGAATCTATATGAAGCAAACCCTAGCTCCTTAATGATAGCATGTGCTATCATTGTTACCCTGGTTGTTCTGGGCATCTTTGGGCTGCTGGACATGTACTAGGTACAAGTGGTATTTTCTCCTTTCTCAAAGAACATCTAGTTCTTGGTTACTGTGAGGATGTTTTTTAGCACATTCTAAAACAGCATTGTCCAATAGAGCTTTCTGCAATGATGGAAATTTTCTATATCAGCACTATCCAAAAAAAGAAGCCATTAGCCACATATGGTTATTGAGCATTCAAAATATGGCTAGTGTGACTGAGGTACTGTATTTTAAAGTTTTAAACTAATTAAAATATAAATTTAAATAGTTATGTGAGACTAGTGAGTAGAGGTCAGAGGATATCTAGACATCTAAGATTCTGGTCCTTGGGACTCAGAGTACCACAGCAATAGCATCCTTGTAGGATCACTGAGTGAGGGTACAATGGAAGCTATGTATTTAATTTTGCACTTTGCCTTAATTGGTTCTAGAGAGGGTTGGAAGCAGAATGCTGCCATGAGCAATAAGAAAGCATATGTGAATCTTTAAGGAATAACAAATGGAAGAGAATGTGTTGTGGTAAATATTAAGAGATGAAAGAGCTAAACACTGTCATTTGAATTGAATTTGAATTTCTAAACATTATGTATTGGAACAGGACAGAACTATCAATTCAATATAAAAATATCCTCCTTGCCAATGCAATTGCAGTGCAATTACTAAGGCCACAGAATTCCAATTAATGAAGATGTAATTTAACTATGAGCTGGAAAGAAAAGCAAGAAGAAGAAATGAACAGAACATTAGTTTCTGCTATATGTTAGAATGAATTGTATCTCTAATGAAGCTACTTACTTGAAAGAACTGTGAATATTCAATGAAATGACTGATGAAGGGACTTAGCATAGAACCCAGCAAGTGGTAAGCAAGTGATAAATAAATAAATAAATAAATATATGTATATATATATATACCATTATAAGTACTAATATATATATATATATATATATATTAGTATCATATAATTATATATTAGTATCATATATAATTATATATTAGTATCATATATAATTATATATATATATATATATATATATATATATATATATATATATATTAGTACTTATAATGGTCTTTGTTTCTCTCTAGATTTTTGTAGAGCCTCTTTCAAATTCCCATGACAGCTTAGGAAGCTGCTTACAGTAATCAATTTGGGGAAAATTATTTTTGGGGGAGGAATAGGTCAATAGAAGGTGTACAGACAACATAAGGGCAAGCTGAGAAATACCACGGCACAATTCCTATTTGTGAATTGCTACTGTAGGGAAACTGTTACTGAGGAAGGTTGATGATATCTCTCAGGTGTGTTGAGACCAACAACATTGTAATAGTAGAACTAAGCAAAGTGCAGGAAAAAATAGTAGCTAAGAGGTTTGCTTATAATTTAGTGTTTTTGCATTTTGCTGATATTCTTGTCAAAATTTGTGAAAAAGGAAGCATGCAAGAGTAGTAGGAAGGGCCATGGAATCAAGTTAACCAGGTTCTAATCCTAACTTTTCAATCATGTGACTTAGACTGATGACCATCTTTGGGTTCCCAAGTTCTCCTGTGAGACAGTGGTGCTGAATGGATCTTTAAGGTTATTCCAGCCCTAAACTCAATAGGGTAACTCAAAATATGATAGCCTATATGGATTCTGGCTTTCCAGTCTTTCTGCAATTCCATTGCTGTTTCAGAAAAGTCTGCTCATTTATTTCTCTAACCTGTTTCTGTAAACTCAGAGCTCAAGTTGTGTGAACAGTGGCATCTCTAGCAGCATGCATAAAAGCAGTTGGGAGGGTGGGAGTGAGTGACAGTGGGTGGGTGAGCAGATTAAAGAGGAGATGGCTGGGAGAGAGAGTAGTATGTATAAAAGAGAAAAGCAGGTCTCCCCCTTTATTATTCTTTTGCTATATTCCCCTATAACAGCTATTCAAAGAAAAACACCAAATCAAGGGCATGAAAATGGCTTGGACATTGGAGGTGAGCAGAACTGAATTTGAGTTCAACCTTTTGATTCAGTATTTCTAACTTCAGTTTCCTTATCTGTGTGATACTAATGGTTAGCAGCTACTGTGAAGTTCAAATGTGATAGTGGATAATGAGTGTTCTGTAAATATTCTCTTAACTTGGTCTCCCCAAACTGGCTCACTCCCTTTTCCATCTCACAATAAAGAAATGGACACACAAGGCTGCTTAAATATCTGTATCTAGAGGATGTAAACAGTATGTACTGGAGAGAGAAATGTGCAGAGGAGGGAAAGTCATAACCTGAGACAGAAATTCCAGTCTCCCTATTAATGAAGCCTCTTTCTTTCATTGTAGCCTTACAATTCTCTGGTTCCCGAGAGCCACAGAAATGTTTATTACAACAGCGTCCCTAACTGTGTTGTCAACACTTTACAGACAGGAAGACACACTGCACAGGAAGAGAAAATAGGATGAGGCAACACCCGAAGTTTCAAGCTGTATCCTGGAGTGATACGGGCTTTTTGGCTCTTCCATCCATAAGTGCCAGCGAACCTCTCAAGTGGATTCCGGGGTGCGGGTGGAGGCAGAGAACCGGGAAGTCAGAGTACCTTTACAGTTTTCTAGGTAAACACCAGATCCTCTTTATGTGATTCAACGCTTGCAGGGAATGCTGGCCTCCAGTGAGCCACCAGCTCCTGGGGGCAGCTTCTGACAACTTTCAGCACCGTGGACAGCGCTCATTCCTTGGTCAGACCTGAGGCCAGGGCTCACCCGAGCTCTCCCTGGCCCCTCACCCCGGGGGGTAGGCGGGTTATCCGGCGACCCTTGGCTAATTCCAGCCAATGACTACCTTCTCCACTTAGGCGAGAACATTTAGAAGGATGAGGAGTGCCAGAAACAGGCAACAGCCCTGCTCCAGTCTTCCCGCATCTTTTCTCTGCCTTGCCTTTGCGCCTAGTCTTTTGACAGCTTGTATCTTTACCCTTCAATCACAGTATAAAATACACATGGGGGTGTTCAGGAGAGAAGGAGGTTCGGGGCCACGCTGCCCTACCCCAGCCCTCTGGATTCGTGGGAAATTGATGTGCTTTGGGGTTGGGGGAGAGAAGGGACTGAAGGGGTGAAGTAGTGCCTGCTAGAGTCATCTCCCGAGGCTGCCCTCTCTGGGCAGGAAGCTTCCCTGGACACTTCTCCCGTCACGTCCTCCTCCCAGCCCCCGTATCACCATTCGCTGGGGACGGATGCCCCTCGCGGCTCACCAGCCTAGTTGGGGCGCCGGGGCTCAGCTGGAGTCCCTTTGAAGAGTTTGCTCTCAGGTAAAGGGCAGACGTTGCCCCCGCCCTCCTCTCCCTCTGCGGCTGGGAAAGAGTCTTTTCCTTTCCTTGGGCTCAGTCCGAGGAGGCCGAGAACCGAGCTGCCCAAGCCGGATGCGTGCCCAGGCTGGGAGGAAAGGACGGGCCCGGCGTCTGCCAACACCGGGTGGCCCAGACCCAGCTCCAGCTCCAGCTCCCTCCTCTGCTTCTCGCTCCCGCCGCGCGGGGACTGTGCTTGCCTCCGCCCCGCCTGGTAGCTCTAGCGAGTCCGGAGCCCCGCCGGACCCCTTTCGCTGCCAGAGGCGGAGAGACCCTGACCCTCAGCTCCTGCCTTATTTCAGGGAGCCCCTTCCCAGAGTGCGCCCTCAGCCTCCGCGCCATGTTCCTGCTTCCCCGCTCCTAGTGGCTCCGGTTCCCTGCTCATCCCAGTCGCGGGGTACAGATGAGTCGGGGTGTCGCGGAGGGGTACAGACTGTGGCGAAGGGGAACGTTCACTCACCAGAGGGGCTGGAGGCGATGGACTGCCTGCTGGGGCTGGTGGCTGACCGTCTGCACTTCAGGCGCGGGCTGTCTCTCCGGCTGTGATGGGGGGTGATGGTGGAAGGAAGGCAAGAGTCAGCCGCTGCTGTTGAACAGCTCCTCAATTATTCAGATGGAACCCCCTCCCGCAACCTCCCCATTCCTGCCAGTCCTCTCTCCAGCTCGCCTGTCTCCGCCTCCTTGGAGTCACGTGGCTAGCCCAACCCCTTACATTATAGAGTCCAAGCCTCACACCAGACCCCTCTCCCCTCTGCTCCGTTCTGCCTGGCACTCTGAACTCCTCGCTGGCCTTCTGAGCTTCAAGGTGAGGCCTCCAGTCTGTCAGGCTGCAGGGAGGCTGAGGGGGCCTGGAATGGGGACAGTTCTCTGTCCTGGGAAAGCAGGCCTGGCAAGACTCTGCAGTGTTGGTGTGTCAGGAAGGCATCTACCACTTCTCTGTCTCTACTACCTCTGGGACTCAGCTACCCAGGCCTGTTGCCTGCCCTCTGGAAGCTTCCTGCTTCCGGCCTGGAGCCCTCCTTGGTCTTAAACTTCTTCCACTCTCCTCAGCCCTACAGGAAAAAACAAGGACCTGGAAGCTGATTCCCTCACTATTCACAAAGAAGGCAAGATCCAAGTGAGCAAGTAGGCCAGTTTATCTTGGGGTTCACAACATCTTGTGTGTGCAAAGACCATGGTTTGAGATTTTAAAGACCCACTAGAAATTTTAGCCTTTTTTTTTTTTTTTGTAATAGAAATTGAACCCAGGGGTGCTTAATCACTGAGCCACACCTCAAGACATTTTTATTTTTAATTTTGAGACAAGGTCTTTCTAACTTGCTTAGTTTGTCTTTGAACTTGTCATCCTTCTGTCTCAGCCTCCCAAGCCACTGGGCATATGGGCATGCACCACTGAGCCTGGCTAGAAATTTCAGTCTTTATGACTTTGGAGTTTTTAGTTTCTTTCTTCTCTCATCTGTGAAATGACCAGCACAGTAGTGTCATGAGAAGTAGAAATCATCATGTTCTTAAAATTGCCTAGCCCAGGCTTGACACATATTTGGAAGTTAGTAAATGAAAGTCCATCTTCCCTTGTCAGTGTTTTGATAAATTTCAGAAAACAAGGAGAAGCTTATGCATACCATAGAATAGAAATATCTTTTTTAAACATAGAAGGAAGCTTCCATGAGGTCAGGTTAGACATAACTGGTCTAAGTGAGGACAGCAGAAACACAAGCTTGTATTTTACATTGATTCCTTAAGATGGGTGTCCTAGAGGCATGTTATGTCTCAAAAATATGGGAACTGGACAATACTAATCCAAGTATGTTTGGCCTTATCAGTGAATGAATCATTTAACATGCACTGAGTAGATTGATTTGGATGGAAGATATCTCCATGAATTCTTGCACCTTTATCCAAGCACTCAAAATACATGGGGACTAATAAAATGTAACTCCCTGGACTTTAAAAATAAATTCACTGAGCTTGTTGTTGAGGAGTACACTGACTGTCTGATATTCTCTTATTAGGGTAGAACAATTCAAATCTAACTTTTGATTTTGGATCTGCCTTGAACCCCAGTGCTCCTGGCTTCTGCTCAGAAAGATGGCTGATCATAACTAGGACAGCCCTGATAAGTCCACATCACTCATGTTCATTACTGCCTTGAGCCAGAATTCAGGCCTAAATATCCATGATTTAACTTCTGAATAGTCATATAGAGTGCATCAGAGCTCTTGAGATCCCCCCAAGAAGTTGCAGAATATTGAAGAAAAAGAGTAAAGTTAAAGAATCAGAAGTTTGGAATGTTAATGCAGACTCTGCCAGTTACTTATATAATCCTTGACAAATCATTTCTACTCTCTGAGTCTTACCTTTTAATTGGGAAATTAAATTTTAATGGGAAAAGAATGTCTATTTTCTCTATAAGATAGTTAGGGTGTTCAGATGGGATAATGCATGAGAAGCCACTGTGAAACATAATGAGTAAACAAATAGGAGCTATTAGTACATAGGTTGAGGAAAACTCTTGAGTCTGCTGTAGTCCAAGTGCATTATAGGGGTGAGAAATAGATTTGTTAAAGAAATAGATTTGTTAAAGAACACGCAGTGCTAAAAAAAGTCAGTGTCTCTGTAAGTTTGCTAGTGTGCCTGCAACTTAAGGGCTGTGGTATTTTGAGAACTTCATTCTTTCAGTTTCACACTCCTTTTTGATGGATTTCTGAATTAAATCTTCATTCTCACCCCTTGGCTTTTCATCTTTCAAATACCAATCATATACTATCTAAGATAATTTTGTGCTTTTATTTTAAAACAGCAGGGTTTAGACTTTTCTGCCTCGGCTAGGTAAATTTGATTTGGGTTGGTAATTCAAAATGGATTTGATTTCAAAGACAAAAATATTCAGATTCCAGGAGTAATTTCTGGATATTCAGCAGCAACCTGAATGGTGATATGAGTTTCTAGTTCACTGCCAATGAAATCCTTACCCAGATCAGGAATTCATGGAATCCCCTGAATTTTAAGCAGATTCCAATCTCATGTCCTGGTACACTTTCATTAAATATTGTTTAGAAATTATCAATGTAGACCTCTTTATATTTAGGGAGACCATAAAATCAGAAAGTATCAACCATACTTATATACATATCATTTTTAAAAAAATTGTTCAAGCTAGGTAAAATGTTACATCTGATTCTTATCTGCCTATGAGTTGTAATCAGGAAGTGTGAAAAAAGGGAAGAATAAGCACGAAAGCATTTAATTTGGCTTCAAAAATGGTGCCTTTATGAGCGGTTACTTAGATGAGCATACATTTTAGAAAAATTTGGACAGTCTCTCTATAAATTGTTTTAGAACTCTGAATAATCTTTTCAAACCAGTTTTAAATGCCCAAGTCAACTTTACTCAGCAAATGGCAGAAAGGGGAGATTAGGGGATAGATCTTGCATAGATTGCAATACCAAGTTACACCTTAACAAGATTTCTTGATAAGGATTCCCTTGAGTCCTTCTCCTTTACTTACAAACTCTTACCTTTTGCTGGTGACTATTAGCTTTATCATAGACCACTGAAAACACTTCCCAGCGAGCATTAACTAACCAATAAATTAGAATGCAATAGACATAACTACAGTTAAGCATTTGGAGCCTTATACATCAGAAACATCGGCACATATCTCAGTTCTAAAGTTAAACCATGATGCTACAGAATGACAGCTAATTAAATCTTAAAAGGACACGCCCTAGTTTTGTTGTTCCAACAAGTGGAATAGGGATATGTTGGTTCATTTATTTCTAGATGCTCAGGATACAGCCATGAACAATACAGAAAAGATTCCTGTTCTCCTTGGGCTTACAGTTTAAGGGAGGGTGTCAGATCATAAACAAGTAAATAAAGCAGTAGAGATAAGGACTATGATGAAAATAAAACAACAATAGAACAAGGAGGAAAGGGTACCATTCTAGTTAAGTGGTGGACATAAGTAAATGTGGGACCTGGACACAAAAGCTATTATGCTCCAGGGAAAGGGTAGGGCCCTCTTACCCAGGGCCTTCATCCAAAACAGTTCATATCAGGCAATCACTAAAATCTCTTGATTGACCTCCTTGAATGGATGGTGGTTAGAACACAAGGGAACTGGTCAGATGCCTTGAAAACAATTATGTGTTTTTGTCTCATGATTTATGATGACTACCCACTGGTTTCTTCTAGAACTCTAAGCTCATCAATGCACCTGATTATTTTCTGAGCAGATTCAAAAGTTGAGAAATGAGAAACACTGCAGCAGCCTATTGGAGAAAGGCTGGTCTGGAGCCCTCCAAAGGAGTTGTATTTTGGGGTAGCAGGAGGTCAGAAAAGAAGACACACAACCAGAACCTGGAATATCATAGGCAAACCTTGAAGATATGTTAACCTGCTGCTAGTATCCTACCAACTGGACTCGAAACACTTATCTACAAGAAAATTTTCTTCTGGGTATCTAAATTCCAAGAGGAAGAAGGGCAGTGCTGGCCTGAGCATGTTTATTTCATTCTCAAATTTGCAAATAAGACATGACACTCTCCCACCTTCACCCCATGCAGAGTAAATAAATGTGTTTAATGAATGATGTGTGGTGAGAGGTCAGGGTCCTTCTGCTAAGTTGTTCAGGTCAGCCTTAAACTTGCAATCCTCCTGCCTCAGTTTTTCAAGTGGTCGTGGATACAGGTGGGTGCCGCTGTTCCCAGCATTATTATATGTTTCCTTTAAATACATCCATATTTCTCAATTAATTTGTTTTATAAAGATTTCTATTACTATCTTAAATAGGAAACTGGGATCATTTGCAGTAAATGCAGGGCAACCATTTAAACACAATGAAAATAAAAACAATGCTGTGATAACCAAGCCAAATATGTTTGCCTTTCCAGGAACTCAAGGCTTGCTTTCTCCTTAAGAGAGAAATCATCAGCTGTTTGTGAGGTGTTAAAGACATAGTGGCATCAAACTGAGACTTTCTCCATCTCATTATTTCTCTAGTTTTAATATGCATAGGAATCCTCTGAGGGATCTTGTTAAAAATGTACAATTAGATTCAGTTAGTCTGGGGTGGGAGCCAAGAACCTGCATGATCTTAGTGATGCTGGTGCTACTGTTTCTTGGACCACTTTTTGACTAACAACCATCTAAAGTACCAGTCATGGTAAGTGCCCCACATTCTGAGAAATGTTAATCGTAGTTTATAGATGAGGAAATGAGGACTTGCAGGGCATAACTAACCTAAAGTTCTAGAGTTGGTCAATAGACAAGACAGGGCTGAAATTCATATTTCATAGATCTCCTTCCTTACAATCCAGTGCTCTTTCCCAAACAACTTTAAGGTCATGACTTTCTTATTGAGGGGGAACCCTGAATATGAAAGCCAAGGTTTCGAATGCTGCATTCTATAGGTTATTTCATGATAATGAACACACCCAAACTCTCAGCATCTTAGAATGCATTTCTTGATCACTTTGTGCATCTACTGTGGGTCAGTGTACATTCTGCTACATGGACTCACTCCAAGATTGTGATTTTATGATGCCCTGTCTCCTTATGATATTCTGGAGTTCACCTTGGTGAGCAAGAGCAAGGCTAGAGAACCTTGCACTAGAAACTAAATGCTCTGTCCTGGAAGTGATGCTCCTCACTATTTCCCACAACTTTTTTTCCAGAACTGCTCACATG